CGACTCACTACACACTTGTCATCTCTTATCTCCTAGATGATCACTATAGATCTAACCCATAGCTACACCAGATGGGTCCCTTGAGTCTGAGGAGGTTGAGGACAGATTCCTCATGCCTTGTGTAAGTAGTAATCTAACTATTTAATCCACGTATAATTTGATTGACGCGACCTCTCTGCAAGGTGAATAGAAGTTAAAATCTCTCCTTTTGTTCCTAAGATAGTCGGACACAGGGTATGATGCCTATAATATAACGTCATTAACATGACTTTTGAGCTATTGGGAGAACCTCAGCTATATCTTTTGGCCTATAAACACTAACACGTCATGTCATTTAAAAGTAATTGCAAATTGAAAATCTCACTCTAAAGTCTAAAGACATCTGCATTTTCTTCTTTATTCGTATTTCTCCATACTGAACTTTTCTTATACATTTATTGACTTCCGTGTAGAGAGAGTACGATCGTGGCCTCCTCTACCTTGATTAGAGAATTCTTGGTCTGAGCCTTTAGTGTGTCTGTCCAAGTGTGTAGGTATCATACGCGAGGGGTAAGGAGAAATGATGTTGATGAGGTCAAAAAAAAACGTCATTAACATGACTTTTGAGCTATTGGGAGAACCTCAGCTATATCTTTTGGCCTATAAACACTAACACGTCATGTCATTTGAAAGTAATTGCAAATTGAAAATCTCACTCTAAAGTCTAAAGACATCTGCATTTTCTTCTTTGTTCGTATTTCTCCATACTGAACTTTTCTTATACATTTATTGACTTCCGTGTAGAGAGAGTACGATCGTGGCCTCCTCTACCTTGATTAGAGAATTCTTGGTCTGAGCCTTTAGTGTGTCTGTCCAAGTGTGTAGGTATCATACGCGAGGGGTAAGGAGAAATGATGTTGATGAGGTCAAAAAAATTGGTGTCGCCTATTAGACACACCACTTTTAACCACGAACAAATCACGTGACTGAAAGCCTATTATTTTCTCACAAAAGCTTGATACTTGAAAAAGAATGAGTAGGAAAGGAATGTGATGATTTCAAAAAGGCCGCACAAAGAAGCATGAAATAGTAATGATAGAGGAAACAAGGCCCTTCGTTATAGATGCCATACAATGAGGACTGGTGGATTTGCTCCCCGTATTATAAGATAAATGAGCAATATAGCCACAACCATTAGGCAAAATGGTAGGGCAAAATGCTGAGTATCTAGCCACCATATAGACCTTCCTCCAGAAGATACAATTTCAAGGGTTGCAGATTCCTCTCCCAGCACATGCCTCCCTCTATAGACATGCCTCATGTAAACCAGCCATATTAATAGAATTCATAGAGGCACCAATCATTTAGGAGAAGGTGGACAATGATTTGATTAGAGAAGCCCTTTGAAATAGGGAATATAGCCAGGGCGGATCCAGCACCTGGCGAGCCCCCGCGGCCGCCCGTGCTGGATCCGCCAGGAGCTTCAGTGGCCGTCGGGTTGGTGGCAGCCACACAGGCGCTGCAGAGGGAGATTTGCAGAAGAAGCCAAACAGGAGTCTATGACGCTGGAGAAGAAGACTTCAAATTTCCAAAATTTTTCTATTCGTTTGGGCTGATCTGCCAGAGATTGGGCCATTTTTTTTAAAAAAATTAGGCCCAAATTAATAAGGATATTGAATCCGGCAACAAAGTCCATGGACCATGGTATTAATTTGATTTCTCATTCCCCCAACCCAAATTTGATTTCTCATTTCCTCCATTTGAAACGGCAGGCGAGTCAGGCGACAGCAAAGTTCAAACAGCAAACCCTGAAATTTCCATATTTCCATTCAAAGCAGAGCTGCAGAACAGCAGAATTAGCAGCTGGAGGCAGTGGACAGTTTGGCGGTGTCATGTTGTACGAAGACAGGGACTCTCAGAATTAGGGGCGAGGCCACGGCCGCGAGGCGACGATCTGGTGAGTTGAAATTTGAATAACTTGAAATGTTGAATGCTTGAAGTCTTGCTTGAGTACTGCAATTTGCAAACCCTTTGTTGATTTTTCGATTTGTGCAAACCTTTTGTTGGTTTGTCGATTTGCAATTCAAAAATTCAATTTAATTTGTCGATTTGTGCTTGTGCAACTGCAATTTGCAAACCCTTTGTTATCTGTTGAGTGTGTTGTGAATGAAATGAAGTATGGTTTTACTTTCACCATTTTGGATTGCTCAACAAGGTGGATTATTAAAAAAAAAGTTGGGTGTAATAGGTGACTCTAGAATGGTTTATTTGGATTCAAGAGTTGGAGAGTGGATTCCAAATTAGAATCGTTTCATTAAAATCTCTAAGAATCCAAATATTAAGTTAACCAGGAAGGTGGCTGTGTGTCGTATTGTTTGAAATGACTTTTTGAGTATACAATTTCGAGGCTGCAAGTGTAATCTCATGCTACTATTCTATATTTATGTGGTCGAAATTTTTCATGAATTGGTGTCATATGAAAGTTATAGTTGAGCTTTTCATTTATGGTACGGATTTTAAAAGCTCTTCCCTAATGATGGATTTAATGTGGAATTTGAATTATTATGGGATAAAAAACCATACCGGTTTTAATTTTTCTCAATTTAAATCCTAAGCACAAGTGAGCTAGGACTAGTGGCTTCATTTTTTACTTATTCAATTATTCACTGTGAATGCCGTTTAATTTGTGACCTTCTTCTGGAGTCTCTGCATCTAAAGGATGAATTATTTGTTTCTTTTATTAGACATTGACTTCAACGAGTTAGAAGTTGAGCATAAAATTCAAATTTCCTTCTCATACTAAGAAGTTTTAGATAAAAGATTTAACTTGGCCTCATATATTTGATTGCTTCCCAATGTTGCCTAGTTTTTGGATGGTAGAGGGGAGGGGAGGAGAGGAGAGGAATTTAATCTTGTACAACTATAACGTAATATGGAATGTTCCACCTATTCATGGGTCCGCCCTAGCTGACCTTCGATCTTGGATTCGCCCCTGAATATAGCCCTCTATAAGAGAAGTGTCAATGAGTAGCTCAACTTCCCGCTAGTATATGAGAAAGAACCCTGGTCAGCGAGATCCACAAGTGTGTTTGATATATTGGAAAGTTGGCCTAGAAATGTGTCCTAGAATGAAATGCCAAGAGATAAGCAACAATGTAACGTCCCGATCCGCATGGATGGAACGTCACTCGAACAATTTTACCTTAGCATTAGACATTGAAATTTTCTAAAATAATAATTTAGTTAACTGCTATTTTAACGGAAAACGTAAACATGAAGTTTAAAATTTTCCCTAAGAGTTATATATATAACATGAAGTTTACTATATAAAAAAACCTACCAATGAATTTCCCATGAAAAATCTACTTTAAAATAATAACCTAATATTAACATAAATCCAAAAGCATTTATAAAATAAGGAAAAAGTCGAGAAAATACATGCATATGCCTATTTATTTATGTGAACAGTAGCAAGGAAAAATTTACCAACTAAATAAAAGGTTTGACCACTATATAAAAAAAACCTATATATACCACGGAATTTCCCATGAAAAATCTACTTTTAGGTAATAACCTAATATTAAGATAATTCCAAAAGCATTTATAAAAGAAGGAAAAAGTCGGGTAAATACATGCATATGCCTATTTATTTACGTGAAAAGTAGCAAGGACACATTTACCAACTAAATAAATGGTTTGACGGTCTCCCATGCATGAACTACTTTAAGAAGTAGGAGAATAATCTGTTTCAACTTCCCATTTTCATGCGGTATGTTTTAAAATAAACTCATTTACATAGTAATCAATGTCAAAATTGCACGAAACTTTAAGGAACGGTAGGGAACTTTTCATAATATGACATATCCAAAATTTGGCTTTCCTTAGCAACATATGAGGTGTTAAAATATTTTCCAAAATCCTGCTAACAATAACTAAAACAAGGCTGTTTTCTTTTTCTATCTCGTATTGTAAGTAAAATAAATAAATTTGTTTGCATAACTATCGACCTCGAAACTTCATGAACTTTTATTTTAAGTAGGAAACTCCTTACAATATGATATATAAAAAAATCGGCTTCGTCAATAGTATATAGGGTATTAAAATATTTTTCAAAACCCTACAGCGACTCAGTTTAGAAGGTAACCCGGCGCAATTTTACTTAAAGACACATAAAATTCTACACACATCGAATCGACATGATTTTAACTTTATTTAGTAGCTAACCATGATATACCAATCCCCATTGGCTTAGTCTGAAAATTCCAAGTAACAATTGAGTTATAATTTTTAAAGTCAAGGTAGAAGTTAAAATTTTTAAGCAAATAGCAATATTAAATTGCTAATTATTTTATTTTATCTTTCTTTTGTGAATAGTGACTTGAAAGTTAATCTCTATAGCACTTAACTACTTTTAAACATAACTTCATAAAGAAATTTTCTTAGAATAGTTCCACATATGCTGTTCATAGAAATCTATTTATATATAAAAAAAAATAATAAACGTTTTGTAATCAAATTAAAACATTAAGTCACTGATTTTTTCATAGCACTTTGCATTGTCGTCTACCATTATCCATACCCCTAAGTAAATCAAATCAACATGTAGGAAGAGAATTAATTCATGAGTTTGAAACTTAATAGATATGATCTGTACGTTTCGTTATCAAATTAGAAATTTATAACTATAGATTTACACTGTCGCACATAGATGAATTTTCGACAAAATTCAATTTCTGTAGAATATAGTAATACATAAAGCCAGAGAATGATCATTCAATTATAGTAGTGCTGAAGCAACCCAAAGGTACCAATTCATTGAAACTTTTAATGAAAATTCATAACTTAAAAACGAAATAACCACTTGCACATCTACCTACCTAAATTTGAAACTTTGAAAAGGATGAAATTGGACGATGAATATTGTTTTTCCGATGGCACCCGAAGCTTTAAGAATTTGCTCCTCTCTTATGTTTTTCTTTCTTTTGAAATTTTTTTTCCTTGATCAAATTTGCACTTTTTTTTTTTTTTTTTTTTTAAATTTTTTTTCCCTTAAAAAATTTTGCTTTTTTTTTTTTTTTGTGAAATTTGTATACAAATATGTTGGAAATGGGATGGGAATGATTTGGAGAAAATGAAAAGTCTAAACTGTGGCAACATCTATGCCAATTAAATGAATTTACATTTCTTGCATTATTGTGCTATTACGTGTGGATATATAATACTATATATCCTACCAATTTATGAGATTAATTGCCTTGACTATTCAACCAAAGTTATGAAACGTGTGTCACTATAAATTGAGGTTTAGTACTTTGAAATTATACTATACGCATATGTGTGTGTGTTTTGGGATTAAATTGTACGTTTCATTCCATATATATGTATTCCTGCATGTGTACGTGTGTATATATATACTTGTCATTTTTTTGGTCCGTAAAATTTATTAATTTAACAAAATAAGAGAACAACATAACCTCAGCTGGAACATAATAAACTCTATTTTACTAAGGGTGTATTTGATTACATTTATTTTCCATGGAAAATATCAGTTTTTCACCCAAATTCCTACTTGGAATTTGATTGCTATTTTTTTTCATGGAAAACATTTTCCAACTTTTGAAAATATTCCTAATTTTCCTTATTTTTAAGGAAAACATTTTCCGTGGGTAGAGGTGGTTTTTATTTTCTACAAAAGATGGAAAACATTTTCTTTTCTAAGTGATATTTTCCATGCCAATCAAACACACTCTTATAGTTCGGTCATTTTGAAAAATAATGTGTAAGCAAATCAAATCTTAAAAATATTTACTATACATAAAATAAATTTTCACCGTCGGGTCCAATCTTTGGGAAAACATTAAATTCCGTTCTACATTATTTCAAAATCTTTACATTTTATAGAAAATACGCATGATTGCTTGTGAACTTTCATGGGGTTATTTAAGACATGTTGAACTAGTATTGGGTTTTCATTCCTTATGTGGGTTGAGCATAAAGTTCGTTTATGGGCTAAGCTTATGGCGCTAAATCATCACAAAAAAAATATAGGCTTAATTTCGTTTTACTTTCTGGGCTTCTACATCCCTTACACCTTAAACAAAATTTCATCCTCGAAATTCATCTTATAGTTTGGCAAAGAGTGTCAGGTATTTATCTTTAACTTCTCCTTCTCTTTCCCAAGTAACATTTTTTTGCTTCATGATTACTCCATTGCACTTTGACTAGTTGAATCTCCTTGTTCCATAATTTATGTACCTTTCGATCTAGTATTTTAATCGATAATTTCTTATAAGATAAATCTTTCTGTACTTTTAGGGATTA